CATATATGTTCATGTATAACTGAAAAATTGTGCTCTACACTGGAATTTGACACAACATTGTAAAATGATTATAAATCAATAAAAAAAAGTAAAAAAAAAAGTCAATTTTATAAACATACCTAATTAGCACCGGACAATCAAGATACATTATTTTCATTCATCTACTGAGAAACATTGATTGTTCCTACTCGGATCTCTTTGAGACTATTAATGATTATTAACCTGATCGAAACCATTAGAACTCCTTTCCGTCTGAAGCAGAGGAGGGTGGACCGCTGCTGAGAGAGCAGAGCCAGTTGTTTCCCCTTTGGTGTTACTACCAGTGTTGTTCTGGTCACACGTCTCGGCCTCTTGTTCTCTGTCCCCCTGCAGACGTACTTTGGGATGGACGTCTCTGCAGTGGAAGATCCAGTTCAGAGACGAGCGCTGGAAACCATGATCAAAACCTACGGCCAGACCCCTCGTCAGCTGTTCCAGTCGGCGCACGCCGGCAGGCCTGGGTCCAGGCTCAGCATTGAAGGAGAGCTCCCTGCCGCCGTGGGGCTGTTAGTGCAGTTCGCGTTCAGGGAAACCAAAGAGCAGGTCAAGGAGGTCACCTATCCGGTATGTCGCTTGGATTTCAGTAGAGTTCAGCAAAAGCTGGTGCAGCTCGCAGTATGTCAGACCCGCCCCCAGGCTCTCGGGGCCAGGAAGTGAGCAGCGTGGTCCCAGCCCAAAGGGGTGCGCGGCCCGTGAACACAGACGCGCCCTTGAGCTGCGATGGTGTGTGTCGTAAATGCTGCCTCAGTGACGTGAGGGGGGTGCTTTGGGAGCTCGGGTCGGAGTGCCACCTCCCTGAGGGTGGTTATGGGGAAGCCTCACGAGGCAGGGACACGCAGGGGCTGCAGATGAGAGGGAGGAGCTCTCCCGGACCAGAGAGCAGTCAGCCAGTGCAGACAGGCCTCGCCTGCGCCCACTGTCACCTGCCACCAGAAGTCCCGACCAGCTGAGTAAATGTTCTGGTTTACAATTCAGGGGGAATCTTACACATTTTTTGGCCCCTCTAGATTGTAATGATAAAAAGTATTGCCTCTTAAAATAGGAAGTAGGTATACTGTTTACTCCGAAAATGAAAAATGAAGCAAGCAAACCTTAAGAATAAAATGAATTCTAATCCTCAACTAAATTCTTCATTATCAAGGCAGCATAAGATGGGAGCCTGTGACTTGTAAAGTGTTATAAGGGTTTACAGAGGGGATGGCAGAACGTGAAAAGAAAGGGGAGAGAGGTTGTGAAGGAGCCTGGAGGTGAAGACCAGCGCAGACCTGAGGCTGCGCTCATCCGTGACCCACCGTAAGAGAAGACGGTTTCACAGCCTTGTCCTGACCGTCCTTGCTTACAGTGGTGTTACTTAAATACACTAAACGTTGAACACAAATAGAACACCCAGTGTAAATTCTTTCTGGTCAGAGCTCACATACATCAGATTTACCTGTTAAATACAAACAAAACTTACACAACCAGTAAGACTGAAATTTAAGAGATCATAATGACAGACAGTGTTGAACCCATTCACCAACGTTGTGTTTCATAGTTGAAAGCTATAGTTTTTTGTTTTGTGTTTTCTTGTCAATTTAACTGTACGGTTTTGAAACCTTGTAAGTCATTTTAGTCAAGATCATTACCAGGGTCATCATTTTTCACTAGAATCTATTTTAACATGTCAAAATAATGTATTAGTACATCCCTGAGAATCACAAGTGCCGTCTCATTCGCTGCTGCTACACAGCTGACTTACACTGCGAATGTGCAGGGTCTGGGCAGCGTGTCTGTGCAGCGCAGTGGGGACCTGGGACCCGCCCCACTCCCCCCAGGCCTGCGTGTAGACCGCTGCCTCCACCAGGAAGGCCCGTCCCCAGACATAGCCCTGGTATGCTCTCTCGTTTCATCCCGGTGTCTGCCCAGACAATTCAGAGAGGCTTCCCTGACCCCACCTCTGAAACAGCAGCTTTGTCGCTCTCCTCCTTCACCACCTGACGTCTTGGATGCGTGTTTGTTTGTTTATTTGTCTGCCCCTCCCCAGATAGCCGCAACGCCACGGGGCCTGGCACCTTGTCTCGTTCTTCAGTGTGTCCGGTAACCAGGACACGTATCTCCATACGCTGAGCACGAGGGAAGCAAAAAAATTATACAGTAATTCTTCTCTGCAAAGGGCTTATAATCAAGCTGCTTTCTCTTACTTTGTTTAGAATTAAGTTAGTAGCAGTTCTATATTTACTGTTTTTCTAATTGTACTTTTTACTTTCTTCATTTTCAGAGTCCTTTGTCATGGATAAAAGGCTTGAAATGGGGGGAGTACGTTGGCTCCCCAAGCGCTCCGGTGCCCGTGGTCTGCTTCAGCCAGCCCCACGGGGAGAGATTTGGGTTTCTCCAGGCCCTGCCCACTAGAGCAATCTGTGGTTTGTCGCGCAACTTCTGTCTTCTGATGACATACAGTAAAGAACAAGGTAAAACACGATGACAGTCGTTCTGGGTGTATCCATCTTTCATGAGACTTCAGTGTTTTCCCTCATCTCTGCTGCTGTTTTGTCCCAGGCCCTCCTCACGTTTCTAAGTGTCCCACACACACTGGGAGGCCAGCCATGTTTTCACCTCCAGCAGTACCTTCCGAGTTAACCATGTCACTAAATGCAAAAGAACCCTCCCTGCTTACCAGGCACAGGCTTTGGGTGCCGAAATGACTGAGTAGGGGCCCCTGTCTGCTGCAGCCAGCTGTGTGCCAGCGAGGGGACCAGACGCCTCTGGGCGGTCCGCCCTGGTGCAGCTTCAAACCATGTCCTGTGCGCTGTGCTCCTCGGCCCCCGCGGCCACCCACTGCAGGGAGCACCCCAGTGCAGGGGTGCCTGACCCGTGCCAGCAGGAACGCCGTGTGCCGGCCGGCTGTGTCAGACTCACTCTTGGTTCTGTCGTGAAATGAGTGCTTGCCTTTATAGTTGTTAGCAGGAAAAGAGGCTGCATACTGTTTTATCTAAGTTCAGTGAACTAGCAAAGTAAGGTAAAGGTGTTTAATCACAGCTGTGGTATCAGTGGTTTATCCTCACTGGTATGTTGCCATTGGCTGTAAGGTGTGTCACAGGTTACTGCTTGCAATTCGTAACGTACCCCAAGTGTGAATAACTTACTTGTAAAAAAAATTAGAGTGGATTGAAGTTTATTTCTATGGAGCAGAAGAGAAAAGGCTGGTGTTACCACTTAGTGTGAGGGACTCACCTGTGTTGGATGTGACACCAGCCTGCCCTTGTTGCCCACGACAGCCTGCGCCTGCAGCAGCCCACAGCAGCTGTGCTCGCTCAGCTCGCCCTTCGCCTCCTCGCAGAGCGTGCTTGGGGCTCGTCAGAGTCTGGGTATGTCTGGGAAGCGGACAGAGGCACGCTAGTGCCACGGCCTGAACTTCACCCGTAGGGTCCCGTTGGCGTTACAGGAACTAAACTCCCATAAACTGGCCCAGCTCGTGGGTATAAAGATGGTTTTGCGCTGAAACGACCACGCTCTGCTTTGTAAACGTCAGCCTCCGAGCTGCCGTGGGGCTGGGCTGTCCATCAGTAACTGAGCAGCGGCATCGGTGCTTTTGTTTCCCTTGCTGAGGTGTGAGAAGCATGAACAGCACTGACATTCAGTGGTCAGCCATCCTGAGCTGGGGCTATGCCGACAACATTTTGCGGCTGAAGAGCAAGCAGAGCGAGCCTCCAGTAAGCTTCATCCAGGGCTCGCAGCAGTATCAGGTGAGCGGCTCTATGACGTGCTTTCTGACCGTAATTGAACATGACGCCTAAGGGCTCAGACCGATAGCAACCCATCTCCCCTGCCCCGCAGCCGGCCCGGTCACGAGGCTGGGCTTTCGCCTTGTCTGCGGGGCTCTCAGACTTCCTAGCTCCCGCCCTTCCGCCTGTGTCCCCGGGATCCGGGCCCGCCCAGCATCGCACTGAGACCGCGCTGGCGCTTCCCACGCAGCGCCGGCTGGGGGCCCGGTGCTGGGACACGTCAGCGTTGCTCTCTTCTCAGCGTCCACTTGCCTTCTGTCACCGTGTCATTTTCAGTGCCCAGAGTGCCACCTTCCACACCTGGTTTTGCCTAAATGGACCAGGTATTTGGGCATCGTGACGTGGTGGAAAGAGCGCTGGGCCCGACTAAAGCCCTGTGGTCTGTGGTCTGTCGCTCACTGGGTCGCCTTTGGCAGGTGGCTTAGCCTTTCCCGCCCTGAGCTGCTTGCCTCCTCCGGGAAACTGGGCCAGTCATCCTGCCACTGCGCGCTCATACAGGTGCTGTAAAAGTGCCTCCAGTGCTCGTGAAGGTGCTCTGCAAACTGTAAAGCACTGTACACACATGCACACACACGCACTGCTGCCACAGCTTTTCCCGGCACTAAACTGTGTGTTAAACCTTCTCTCTTTGCCCTTCTTTCCACGGGAAGTTCTGTTGCCATTTCTGACGTCCGTTACCTGCCTTAACACCCGATGCCTGTTCACACTCCTGACACTCGTCACCATTCCCTGAGCACTCTGGAGCTGGAGGCAGCTACTTTGGGGCCTTCTTGGCAGTGAAAGAAAGGAGAGTAGTGACTGTTTGCTTATTAACCTTCAGAAAGGGTCATCGCCTTGTGTTGTCTGACCTAACAGTAAACTCACAAAAGTAAAAATAAAGGATGGGGAAAAACAACCGTATTAGAAATTTTAATGAAAATTTAAGCACTGCACATTTTTTCTGTCATGTAAAGTTGGTCACAGAAACATCATTAAAGATGAAAATGTACCCCCATCAGTCCTTTAGCAAAACGGTATGATCCAGATTTTTAGCGAACACAGCGTGATAATAAAGTACTTCTGGTCAGAGGACTCCCTAACTAGGGAAGGAGGCCATATTTCAGTTTGTCCCTTAGTTTGAGAAATTCCATGGAGGGTACTCACGTACAAAGACTCACACGCTGAGACCTCACTTAGCTGCTCAGGTGCATCATCGTCATCCAGATCAGCGGCCCGCGCCTCTGCCCTCGTCTCCGACTGCTCTCATGACTGCCAAGTACGTGCCTGTCAGCCTTCTCTTTCCTGTTACCCCTGGAAAATGAGACGTTCTGAACCCCCCGCTGTGCCCGACGGCAGCTGAAAGCAGACCACAGACACGGTGTCTCCAGTCTCTTACACTTTCTCGGAAGACGACAGCATTCTTTCCACAGTGCAGAGAGGAAGCCAGAGATGACGGTTTAATTCACGCTACCTTGTCCTCCCGGGAGACCCGTCATTCTTCCATTTTCTTATTTTGTCTGTTTTGCTTGAGCACAGCTGGGATAGTTGAAGAGTAGTGATGAAGTAATTCCTAGAATGATGAAACAGCAAAATGTTTCAAAATAGAGAGAAAAAATGAGACGTTAAAATCCTGTGCTGTAACTTAGGTTTCTGAGAGTTCAGTAGTCCCACATAGTGGTTGCAGGACAGAATGAGTTTTATTCTGTGTATTTTAAAAAGTACATTTTCTTCTTGTTCTTTGGAAGACCTTTAAGAAAGGATAAAAATTATGAAACATCAATCTTTACAAATAATTAGAACCATTCAAGAAAGAAACTCTAAAAAAAAATTGGATCCATTGGACTCTGATGACCTATTGAGAGATAAGAGGAGTCAGGATCAAAGACAGTCATTTTTCAAGATGGCAGACACTTGAACACATTTGTAGGGCCAGGAGGGGAGAAGCCAGCAAAAGACAGTTTGCAGTTCTGAGAGGGACGTGGCAGTCGTTCTGAGAAACACTGGGGGCGGAGGGCGGGGGGCGCTGGCCTTAAAGACAGAGGGCCTTCTCCTCTAAACCAGGAGACCACACGAGACAGTCTGAGGCACAGAGAAGGGGTGGGGTGAGGTCTGTGGCTGACGACCTGCGTCCTCTTGGTGAATTGAGGTGTGTGGGTGTTGCCGACTCCACCAGGAGAGGTGGGGCTGGAAGGGGCCATGGGAGCAGAGCAGGTGGGGGCAGCTGCCGTGGGCGTGGCGCTGGGGGTCAGCCAGTGCTGAGGAAGGCTGTCAGGCCAGGCAGAGGGTCTGGCTGACCATGACAAGTGTCTCCATGGTTGGGGCTGAGGGGTTATAATCCCAGATTCTATTCTCTGTGTTTGTCTTTCCTCCTCCTCCTGCTGAGCCATCTTTAGAGCTGTTAGAAGCAATACGTCTATTTATAAGGACCCTGTTTCCCCACAGAAACAGAAGAAGAAAACAAGGAAATAGAAGTGTAAAAATCGGGTGAAATGCATCTCACACACACTCAGCCCTGCATCTGGCTGGTCCTGGACTGTTTTGTTTAAATTTCTGGGGAAGAAGTGGCCATGTGTGTGTGCATACACAGGAAAATGTAAAATCACAGACAGTGCATTATAATACATTCTAATTTGGGAGCAGCTTTTAGACATCTTAAAGTTACAGGATATTATTCTATCTTGCACCGTTCTAATCACTTTAAAGGTTTGCCTTAAATTTTGTGATCGTATATTTTTAAAATAATAGAAAAACATGTAGAATTTCTCATGCTTTTTAAACACAATAATCTTTGGTTTGTCCTTGTTCAAGGTGACTAGTTGTGCGTGGGTGCCTGACAGTTGCCAGCTGTTTACCGGGAGCAAGTGTGGCGTCATCACAGCCTACACCAACAGGTTTACCAGTGGCACGGTAGGTCCTGGGCTTGTGTGGGGTTTCCATGTCGGTGAGGGGAAGAAACCCTTTATGAAGTATAATTTATAAGTATAAGATTAACTTAAAGTTTTTGTGCTTTAATCTCTTCTCCACATTAGCTGTAAAATGTGAAAGATCACGTATTTACCTCGTCAGTTTATGGTTGATTGGGATCACGAAAAATCTTGAGAATGACTGTAACGGTCTTAGTGTCTGGGGTCAGGGACATAGTATTTTGAGTTTTCGTCCGTGTCGCGTTGGGTTTTTTGACGCCGTGTTGACGCATGCCAGCCTGTGTCCTTGGTGGCGGCCTGGATGCGCGGGAGCCTGTGAGGCTGGGAAGCGAGAGCGCGCGGCGCCACGCCCCGCGTCCCCGTGCTCTCTGGGTGAATTCAGTGGCGGCAAAGTCCAAGTAGCCTGTCTTGATTTCTACCAATTACCGGAAGAAGTTTCTTCGGCTATTCGCTGAGTCTTTAGGATTTAAGAGTTAAATTGCTAAAACAGCTCGGTGAAGGAGACAGTATGCAGCACTTGTAATTTGCTGCCGTTCCTTCCTTGAGCCAGCTGTCTGTGGCTGCGGATCCGTGGCGGGTCCAGGGTGGTCCCTCAGTGACGATCATGCAAGGCTGGAGCGTTCTCCGGGCTTTTTTTCAGTATGGTTTTCTCCGTTATTTTATGAAACACGTCTTACTGGGTGAGGCCCGCGCGCCTAGCGTGGCTGATGCTGGCTCTTTACTTCTCTGTGCAGGTTTATTCCCTCGTAAGCCCTTGTTAGGTTCTTTGCCACAACCCTGGGGGGCGAACGTGACCATAGCATTGCCTCTGTCACGTAATGCGTTCTAAGCAGGGGTACTGTGCTCCCGCCAGCATTTGAAGGAGATCACTGCCGGCCAGGAGAGATGCTCGTGAGGGGCGGCGACCAGAGGGCGGGGTGTGGCGGGGATGCGGGCCAGGCTGAGGGCCCGGGTGGGCAGGACCGTGAAGGGCGTGCTCTAGGGAGGGGTCGCACCCACGTCAGAAAAGCACAGAAGAGGCACCAGCCGACGTCAGGGAGCCTGGAAGGCACACTTGAGCTGGGCCTCAGAAGCTCAGCTCACTAAGTGGAGAAGAGAGGGAAGAGTGCTGCGCGGAGTCAGAGGCCGGGACTTGGGGAGCGGCAGGTGCGTAGAGTGCCGCGTGCTGGGGAGGGTGGCAGGGCAGCGGGCGGAGTGCGGCTCTCAGACGCGCAGGGCACTGAGAAACGCTCGAGGCCTGAGCGGAGAAGTGCCTCAACCTTGGAGGTCACCCGCTTCCTCCCTTTTGCTCCCAACGGCCTGAAGGGGTTGTTAATTTTGTAATGTCTCTCATACTAACTGCTGCCGCCACCTTTCACCTTTTGAGCTCACCCTTCTGTTTCCTCTTTCCTGCAGAGGTATTCTTTCTTTATTTTGTTTTGCTGAAGTAGAGTTGATTTACAATGTTGTGTTAGTTTCTGGTGTACAGCATCGTGACTCAGTTATACAGACATACATTCTTTTTCATATTCTTTTTCATTGTAGGCTATTGAATATAGTTCCTTATGCTAAACAGTAGGATCTTGTTTATTTTGTATACAGTAGTGTGCATCTGCTAATCCTGAACGCCCAGTTTATCCCTCCCCCTTCCCCAGCAAGTGCATTCTCACCACTTGTGCTCAGCACGTGTCCCCTCATGTGCGCAGGTCACGCTGCACCACGTCATGGCTTTGAAATAGCAGATCGGGGTAGTGACTGTCGTTTGAACGCAGTAAGACATAGGCTTCTTTTACTCTGAAGTTGCTGGAGGCTTGTGAAGCCTTATGTCACTTACCTTTCCTCAATTATATATTTGGCTGAAAGTAGGTTTTTCAATTTATTTATAAGAGTGCTCTTTTTCTCCTAAGTATTAATACCACTGGGTCATCAGTTCATGAGATGAACAGTTGCTATTTAAACTGTGTCCAAAAGTGCATCCTGGCTGTGTGGCTCTGTCCTTGTGTGGTCCGAGGGAGGCTCACCTGGTCTTTGTAGGTGTTGCTGCTGCTTTCTCTTGGGGACCATCTCATCATCCAGGGGCCTCTGAAGCTGCAGGTGTGACCCTGTGCCTGTGGGGTCAGCAGCGAGCGCCTCACATTCACAGGACTCCACGCTCCCAACCCAGCGAGCGCCGTGCTTCTGAAGTGTCTGCGCTCTCACCGTGCTGGTCTGAGCTCCCAAGTGCCAGGCAGGATATGCCCAAATGATTGCTGCTTGAAAATACTTCCAAGGAGGGCTTATGAAGTACCTCCCAGAGCTAGTGAAGCGCTTCTCACCTGGGGCATCGTGTGTTCCTGTTGAGTCTCCCAAGTTAGTCTTCTAAAATGCATTCTACAAACGGAATGATGAGTGAGTTGACAAGTTACAAGGAATTGTTACCTATAAGCCATGTATGTGTTGGAGAATAACGTCTTCTAAAAGGGGTAGCTGATTTTAAAATAGTTGATCTTACTAACTACTGTATATCAAACACATAAGCAACAAGGTCCTACCGCACAGCACAGGGAGCTGCATTCAACACCGTGTAACGGCCTATAATGAGACCAGTATATGTATGTGTGTATAACTGAATCACTATGCTGCACACCAGAAGTTAACACAACATTGTAAATCAACTGTATTTCAATAAGAAATAGTTGCTCTTGAGTCATTTTTTCACTGATTGGATAGTGTGGCCACATCACCTTCATACACGTGAACACCTGTATTTCTGTTCTCTGTACTGATGGTGGTGGGACAATATGTATGCAGTTTATCCAAGCTAATATTACATCATTCAGGAACATCTTTTTAAAAAAACAGGCCAGCATAGACTTCTGTTCTGCCCACGGAGATTATTGTTTGATCCATCAGAGAGTCATCCAGTAACACTAACGCTTGAGTCATTTTAAAGCGCACAATCTATAAAATTTCAACAACCACTGTAGTGCCTGTCCTGTGATTATCCCATAAGTATTATTCGTGGTCATGAAGTTAAAAAAATACACGTACACAAACACACACACATATATATTTGTTTGTTTGTTTTTAAATAAACTGGGAGGGAGCTTTAGCCTTGATGGCATTTGCCAATCCTAGAATATTGACACTGCCCTCGGACAGCCTCTTGTGAGAGGAATGGAAAACAATACCAAGGGACAGAGCAAGCTGGGGGGTCCCAAGGAGGCTCTTCTCCAAAAGGCTTGTCCCCATAGTGAGGTCCCCAAGAGTGAGGGTGCGTCAGACGGGACCAACTCTTGCCTGGAACTGCAGCCTGGATTGGGATTCCCCAGGTGGTCAGGACCGTCAGGACCTGACCCTTGGGAAGGCGGCCCTAGACCAGGATGGTGCCCCAGGTCTCCCAGCAGAAACAGTCACTTGCATTCTATTCCACAAATAAAGGAATTCTGACAAATAATTTTTTAAATGCAGTAACGAACACAATAAAACCAAGCACACAAATTTACAGACAAGAAAATGAATATGTGAAAAAGTTAAACTTAGTTATAATAAGAGAAATGTAATTTAAAGCAACATGATTGCCATTTAAAACTTGGGAAATTTTCAAAGGTTTAGAATGAGAGTTGAGTCACAAACTCAGATGCTACAGGGTCCAAGCAGAGAAGGGAAGGGACTCAGGCCTCTTTGGGCAGGGAATTTCTGGGTCCCAGGGCCCCTGAAGCATGGTCTGAACGAGTGCTAGCCCACCCCACGGCCCTGTGGAGAGGGCCACAAAGAGCCAGAAGGGGCCCAGACCAGGACCCTTGCCCTGTTCAGAGCCATCCAGTCGCTGTGATTGTGTTCAGGTGAAGGTCACATGCCCCAGCTAAACAGAAGCCACTGGCACACAGCTCAAGCCAGTTGTCGAAGGAAAACCATGAGCCTGGTGTTGCCTGGTCATTTGAGTCTTTGAATATAAAATATGTATTTTTACGTGAATAAAACACTGGCATATAAGGCACTTAAAGTAAGATGCGCTGCAGCTGATGAATCTGCACTGATGTTTCAGAAACAGCGGTAAACAAAAGGGCCAGATGCAGCAGGTCCCTGACAGCAATACCACATTTATGAGGTGTATCGACATGAAGAACAATGTAGCGCGCTGTCTGTTGCTGTAGTAATACGTGTAGCACCTAAGTGCTGCATGCGTGGGAGACACGCAGATTCAGAGCAGCAGTAGCTCTGACAAGGGAGAGGAAACAGGCTGTAAAACCGTACAAACTGTGATGTTTAACGTTTTCTTTATTTCAGAAAATAAGCTGATCGTATAATGTTAGGAGCAGTTTAACTGAGTGGTCAGGATGCAGCTTTTGGCAACACGCCTCCTTTCTACTGTTCTACATTCGTTGAAGTGAAGGACTGAAATACTTTAGACAATAAACGGCTACCTAATGAAAAGAAGGGTCGGACTGTGCTTGGGCATCTGGCCTCTGTGAGCCAGTGCGGACCTCGGGGCAGCAGCTTGCAGCCTGCGACCTAGAAGAGCGCTGCTGCTGCGTGACGGGGGTGTGGGGACGCGGCGCCCTCGGCGGCGCCCCGCATCGGCGCAGCGCCCTGAGCAGCGCACCGTCCAGAGCCACAAAAGTACTAAACTGGCACAGTGTTGTAAACTGACTGTGCTACTCCATGTACACAAAAAAAAGAACTACAAAGGTATTAATGTTCACTGATCCACTAGTAGGATTCTGGAAGTTTGTTCTAAAGAAGTGGTTTAGAGGAGGAGCAGACTTGTGTTCATGAAGGATTTAATGATGGTATCCACAGTTTTGAAAAAATTCAGAACAACTTTAAATGCCTATCAATAAAGGATGCTCGAGTAAATTATGACATACTAACTATATAGAAATTATGACACTTAAAAATCATCTTGAAGAATGGTTAGGAGTGGGAAACGCTTATGGGAGATTGTGTAAAATACAGAATAGAAAGTTGTTTGCATGGCAGTCACCACAGCTGTAGAAATACGTGTGTGTTTGGCCAGAGACTGGATAAGAACAGACAAAAATGAAAAGCATATTAGTTGATGAAATTATGGTCAATTAAAAAAAGGTTAATGTTTAACTAAAGTTTTACTCGTTAGAAACCATTGAGCTTGGTTGAAAACCGATACGTTTGAGAAGAGTCACTGCAGTGGTTTTTCTGTTTGAGATACAATGTTAGGACACCTTTTGCTGTGGTTTTTGTCTTCACTCAATTCTTTTATTTCAGCCCTCGGAGATAGAAATGGAGTCTCAGGTACATCTCTATGGGCACACGGAAGAGATAACCAGCTTATGTGTGTGCAAGCCGTATAGTATAATGATAAGTGTAAGCAGAGATGGAACCTGCATCATATGGGACCTGAACAGGTATGGCTGCGCCCCACCTTGGTGTCGCCGTTCACATGCCAAACACAGAGGCACCAGCGTGATCGCTCTGCCTTGTAACAGCTTTAAGCGTGATATTCAGACTTCACCTTTACAAGCTTAATGAATTAAAAGATCAGTTAGGAATGTAGTCAGGAATTCCCTTTAAATAATAGGTACATATACACTGAGGAAAAAAATTATACAAATAAGAGAATATAATTGTATTTAATGATCATATTGTTACCGAACTGAATCTTGGGTCCGCTCGCCCACTCACAGTAAAACCAATCTACTGACACAGGGTTGTGGTGAAGCAAAGTGCAGCGTTTATTTCAGGAGCCAAGCAAGGAGTCCAGGACAGCTAGTGCACAAAATCCTGAACTCCCCGATCGATTGGTGTCTGCAAAGCATTTTTAAAGGCCAGGTGAGGGAGGGGGGTCAGGGTGTGTGATCAGCTTGTGCACAGTCCTCTGGTGGGTGGATGGTGAGATCACAGGGCAGGGGCACGGGTTCACACCATCAATCCTTAGGCTCCAGGAGGTCTGGGGGCTACAAGCTCATGGTCATCAGCTAGTTAATTTCTCCCGTTTGGTGGGGATTTCGCATCTGTAAGACAGCTCAGGAATGTGCTTCAGACACTGTCATCTAGGAACTTCAGAGACAGCTAGGGCAGAGGATACGAGGGAGGGGGTCTGCCCCGGGAAGGCCCACAGGGTCCTGCTCCGTAGTGATACGCAGATTCATGTCTTTGGTCTTTCAGGCTGTGCTACGTACAAAGTCTGGCGGGACACAAAAGCCCTGTCACGGCCGTCTCTGCCAGTGAAACTACAGGTGACATAGCCACCGTGTGTGACTCAGGTGAGCAAGCCCCAAAACCACAGCACAGGGTGGTGGCACTAGCAGTGCACTTAGCCAGCTGGTAAGCATCACAGGTTAAGCGTGGCGCTGCCTCCCTCGGACCCCAGCCAGACCTGAAGGCGTAGGTGGTAGCACGTGTGTGTATCAAAGTCCGGTAAGGCCGAGGGCTGAGCTCGTCAGCTTGGGTGTCGCCCTCTGCAAAAGTCGGCACTGTCGTAATGCAGCTCTTTTTCTGGTACGTGTGAGACTGCATTCGAGCACATCAGAGTCACGGAAACTATTGCCACGTAATTATCTGGGTTTTCTTGGGGTTTGTTTTCCTGTCCTTCTTTGCTTCTGCTTTTTAAGTACTAGCTTTGCCACCTTCCTGCTGAGTAGATGACCAGCATCAGCTGGGGATGGACTCTGAGTTTATGTCTCCCGGGTCCTGAGAACGCTGCACAGGGCACCTAGCGGAGGCGTGATTTCCCTGCAGTCTACGTGGCAAAGACGTGTCTCCCAATCGAAGCTCTTGCTTTGGGGTTTTCGGTTTTTTTCATTTATACACATTAAAAAGCTTGATGCATCCAGCAGGGAAGAACAGTTGAAAAGTTGATGAATTTTCTGTTTTCACTTCTATTAATTGAAAGGATCCTCTGAAACCCTTTCTTTCTGCCCACTGAGTTCAGACTGTCTGTGACACGCCTACAGCTGCTGGTCTTCTGTCCTTTGCTTGCGTTTCTGATACTGTTTTTCCCTGACACCAAATGTGTGGTCTTTCCAGACACCAGACAGTTCTCCATTTCTGTGACACCAACTGTGTGTCCAACGATGCAATTCAATTCTGACACTAACTAGTTGAAGCTAGCAAATTTAGGGGTCCCAAGACCCCCGAGCAGGTTCAATAATTCTCTAGAATGACTCACAAAACTCAATAAAACACTCTACTTACGAATATAGCTTATTATAAAGGATAGAAACGAACACCCAGATGGAAAGGTACCTGGGGGAGATCTGAAGGGTCTGTCCACGAGGGGTCAGAGTGCACCACCCTCTTAGCATGTGAATGTGCCCCCCCCCGGCCTGGAAGCTCTCCTCACGCTGTTGTTTAGCAGTTTTTCTGAGGTCCCACTATGTGTCCTGGTAGATCAGATCATCAGCCACTGGGACCTGAGGTCACCCGCCAGCCCCCTCCCCTCCCCAGGGTGGGAGGGGCTGTAAGTTCTAACTTAGTCATCCCAGGGTTGGTTTTTTGGTACCCAGCTTCTGTCCTAAAGCAGTCTTGGGCCTCCCCGCAGGAGTCAACTCATTAGCATACAAAAGACAGTAAATTCACCAGGGTTCCAGGAGCTCCATGCCAGGGGCCTGGAGCGAAGTCCAGATATTTATGTGTTTTGCTGTCCCACGGACGCCTCTCAGAGTTTCATTGTTTGTACACAACATTCATTCATTCTTGTATTCAGGAAAAGGCATGTCTCCAGTCATGCTTAAAGATTTCAGACGTGAAGTACTTGCCAGTCTCAGCCCCCAGTCATAAAATAATGACGTGAAAACATTTTTATTTCCTAATCATCATAACTAAGGAGGGAGAGAGTTGACTTTGGCACCACGAGTGTGGGCGGGTGCTTGACGACCAGGCTGGCCGTTCCCCCTTGAGGCGCAAGTTAGCAGCTTGCAGTGTGTCACGTCAAGTGGGAGTCTGGGGAAGTGCTGCAGTGGTTATTTACATACAGTTCTCTACCTCCTTGTTTTGGCAACATCTGAAAGTTAGGGCTGATCCTGAGGGAGCTGAATTTTGTGAAGTTAATTACTTTCTGGCTGCCAGTAGTGATCTATGTCTGTGACATTGTATCAGCTAGTCATGGGAACAAGAAACCAAACTGCTTATGCTTGCGATTACCAGCTCCCCAGTAGGGCACTCAGGTGTCCCCAGGGAGCGCTCAGTGTGACAGAGAAGTGGCTGGAACTTTCCTTCCGGTTTGAACAAAAAGGCCTTCTCAGCTCGTCTGAGGCCTCTTGGTACATATAGAAGAGGAGTCGTAATGAGCACTTAGTATGTAGAGAACATAATGAAAATAATGGCTTTTTAAGAAAGAGGACAGTTTATTTTAGTGACCCAGACTAGCGTTCACTCCCCCATTCCTGTGGTCCAAGAAGGGAAGGAGATTAGCAGACGTAGCCGACCGAATGCCTTGGCTCTTTAGTGAGAACCATCCAAGTAACCTTAAGATCAAAGTTTTAAATAAATACATGTATGTGTGTGAGTGTGTGTGTGCGTGTGTGTGTGCACATATATAACCTCAGAAGTGCCTGGGCTGCGGCTGAAGCTCACCGGCAGGCTCACTCCTCCTGGTCCTGGTCTCCCAGTGCTCACCACGGGCTGTGGCTGTGACAGTGATAAGATGTGAAATGTATTAAAGTGTGTAAGTGTTGACATGGATGGCTCCTATGTTTTTTTAGAATCATTCTGCCACTGTATCAAAATGCATGCATTTCAGCCAGGGTCTACAGCCTGGCCCAGCACTGCCAGTGGCATCATAAAGTTAACACAGTCGTCTCCGGGTCAGAGCAGGGGTGGTTCTCTCATTTATTTTAATTTTGAGGAAGATGTACAGGAAGAATAAGGATTTTTCTCAGGAATGCCCAACTTGCTGACTTTTGATTGATGTGCTAAATTATACATGAAGACAGTCTGGTATTGGTAAGGGCCTTGATTTTATTTTATTTTATTAATTTTTTTAATATTTACAATCTTAGGCACATGAGTAGTTACTTGGTGGTGTGGTAGACCACGTTTCTGGGTGACCTGCAGGGTCATTCTTTGCCTGTGAAGTTCCACACCCTGCTTCACAGAGTCCAGGGCCACACTGAGACTTTCTGCCCTGAAGGACTAAGCCCTGTGGTAGCTGTGCCTTGCAGTTACCCAGCCCTGCTTCGGTGTCTTTTATGGACATGTATCCAGTGACTGTAATAAGCCTTCTAACCTTTCTAGTACATATCTGGTTACTTTATGTATTTTTAAAAATCTGTTATTAGATATTAAAGGCAAAAGAAAGAGTGAAATACAATCTATTCATGTAGAAGATGAGTTATCTGGTCTATGATTGTATTTCTTTAGCATATTGAGTCTCTGTGTCTTGATGCTTTATTTGGATAACCTCTCCTAATCAGTCTTCTACCATGGAAAGGAGACCCCTGGGCGTTTTTCATCTTTGTGTGTGTGTGTGTGTGTGTGTGTGTGGTAAAAGTGTATGTAATATAAAAACTGCCCTCTAAACCATTTAAAATTCAGGGGCATTATTACCTTCATAGTGCTGTGCAGCCCTCACCACTGTCTATTTCAAAAACTTTTCATCGCCCCACACAGAAACTCTGTGACTGTAAGTCCCTGTTCCTCCCTCCCCAGTGGATCCTGGTAACCTCTGTTCTGTTTTCTATCTCTGTGAATTTGGATTTGCCTAGTCTAGATATTTCACATAAGTGAAATCATATGATATTTGTCCTTTTGTGTCTAGCTTATTTCACTTAGCATAACATTTTTAAGATTCATCCATGTTGTAGCCCGTGTCAGAACTTCATTGCTTTTTATGGCTGAGTAATATTCCATTGTATAGATTTACCACATTTTGTTCATCCATTCATCTGCTGAGATTGTGTCTTCTGGCTATAGTGAATTAACGCTGCAACACACCAGGCGTTTTGGTTTGTGATATTCAAAGGTCTTTAGCATGTCTTTAGATAAAGAAATCTTTGCAATATTTATTTCTTTTCTGTAAAATATGAAATCTTTTCATTGCCTTATAAAAGAGAGAAATAAGTTCTCTATTTTATGTTAGTTATAACGGAGAGATAAATTAAGTGGAGTTAACACATTGTGTCATCCAAGCTTCATCATGCCTCTTAAGCTCTCTCTTCATCAGCATGAGAGTATTTCTCCAAAGGAGGCTGGGCACACACATCTCCGTGGGCCCCCAGACCACCAGCCCCAGTTGGCAGAGGCTGGCAAGCGCTTACTACCTCCTCCGCCCCCGGAAAACTACAAGAAGTCTGGTCACTCGTGCTCTTTGAAAAGAAAGAATTTGTTTAATAAGGCATTGATTTACAAGATTCAAACTTGGACATTCTGAAGAATTAGATTTCTCTCTCATTTTTTAAGAATTAGTTTTTAACTCAGCTTTTCCTGTAGCTGCTTTTTCTCCAGAAACCCTGTGAGTCATGCATAGGTGGTTTCAGAGCGTGTTCTCTGTGGGGACTGTTTAGCTTTCCAGGTACTTTCAGCTTCAGATTTGGCAGTCCGTGTGCTGAAACACTGTGACCACAGAAGGACTCATGGTTCATTTCCCTCGTGGCTCTGCACTGTAGGTGAATGTTTTACTTTTATTTTTCTCACTGGGCGTCATCTCTAGACAAATATGCAAACTCTGTGTGGCTCATGATGTAGTGACACATTTACACAGTCTTCAGTCACATGTGGTCTGTAAACTTCGTCACTCAGACAGACAAGCTGGCCTCAGGGAGGCGCCGCAGGGCCCCGCGTAGTGGGCCCTGCGCCCTCCTCTCTAGTGACCTGCGGGTGACCATGGTGTTTCAGCTGGTGGAGGCAGTGACCTCCGACTCTGGACGGTGAACGGCGACCTCGTTGGACATGTCCACTGCAGAGAGATCATTTGTTCTGTCGCCTTCTCCAACCAGCCTGAGGGAGTATCCATCAACGTGATTGCTGGGGGATTAGAAAACGGAATCGTGAGGTAAGAGGAGTCCTGACGTTTGTGCGCTTCTTGATCATAAGGACAGGACGGTTTCGAAGGTTCATTTTCACTCTCTAGGCACATTAGTATTTGATGTTTAGAGATTTAAAACCGCCTTCAGATCTAGGCTCTTCAGTTATTCCTGTTTAACTTCTAAATCATAAGGAAAGCGTTAGTGCACTTTTGAGATTTTATATTGTTTGTTAACTATAAAACAACAATATGAAAATAAACAAAGTTAAGTTGACTCACTCCCACGCGCACCTGCACGCTTCCCAGAAGTAACTGTGGGTAAGCGTTCGCTGTGTTGCCTTGCAGATGCTCTGTAACACGGAAACAAACATGCAGGGCTCCTTAGTGAAGGGAATTTTAGTTTGCAGAGTCAGGTGACGACTCTCTTCTCCCTCCAGGTTGTGGAGCACGTGGGACCTAAAGCCTGTGCGGGAAATTACATTTCCTAAGTCAAACAAGCCCATCGTGAGGTGAGTCTCCCGGCCTCCCACCTGCATCTCGCACCCGCGACTGTTCTCGTGACGGGGACAGTAAAGTGCCAGCGGTACAGAGATGTGTGACCACACTCATTACAGACCGCCGAGCACATGCAGACACTACGATGCCCAGGCCCAGCGGCGGGAGGAGGCCCAGTTCCTGTCTTCCTGGAGCTTAAAATCCGGGTCAGGAACTCAGTGTCCAACAGAGAGCTCATGGGGACGGAGCCCCGGGAAGGCCCCACCAGCTGCAGCAGCTGCTTTTTTCCTTCCTTACTGAGAGCCCTATCATGGTGACTGAGCTGTGGGAGTGAGTGTGACAGGTTGATAAACAAGCAGTTCCCCTTTGCTCACAAATTCGACTTTAAAAACACAATTAGAAGTCGGTGATTCAAATGCTACTTTATTGAAATAAATTTCTTTTTAATCCACTTAATGTAAAGTTTAATGAACCTAAATTACTTACTTATTAATGTTACATTTTTACCCTTCCCTTTTTCAGGGAAATAAAGTATCTCCATAATATAATCGTTATATATTTCTAGAGAGAGAAAACGGGGCAGTGTTCTGTTTTTAAAGTGTCTGTACCCGAGTAGCTGTTGTGTAAGTCACAAGGCTGAACAGGAAGGGCGAGGAAACATGCAGAAGGAGCAGCATGCCCGCCCCTTCTGGTCTGGGCGGCGTCTGCGTCACTTGGTGAGAAGGAGCTTCACAAACAGCCAGCACAGCAATTAAACGGCATTCGAATTACAGTCAAAACCAGTGAGTTGCAGGCGGGCCTCTCTCTGTCTCCCTGCACCAGCAAAGCTGTCTTCGCCCCCTTAGATGGTTCCGGTTGGTGTGATCACCAACGTGCCGATACAATGCTGAGAGACCTGGTGTTCAAACGGGACTTTTGTTTTCCAGCCTTACGTTTTCCTGTGACGGCCACCATTTGTACACGGCCAGCAGCGATGGGACGGTGATCGCCTGGTGTCGGAAGGACCAGCAGCGCCTGAAACAGCCCATGTTCTATTCCTTCCTCAGCAGCTATGCGGCTGGGTGAGCGCGGAGGACCTCCCCTTCTGCAGAGCACTTCAACTCCAAGCCAGTTTGCTGACTTCGCCGGGTCCAGAAGGTTGAACCTGAAGACGTGTTTGACCAGACAGACCACCCAGATAACGATCGAGTCTGTTCATCTGCACAGAGTTCTGCAGCCTCACAAGGTCCTCAGGGGAAAGTTTTGTTCTAGTTTAGTGATAATGTGGAGGGTCGCGTCAGTGTGCACTGACCAACAACGTTTAAGGTTGGCACATCCATTAAAATCATATTCTTAAAGTGTTTTTCCACAAGGGATTCTAAAGGAAGGATTAGTGTCTCTCTTTTTCTGTTTTCTATTAGTTCCTGTTTTCTATTTTTCCAAAAAGACCAGTAGAATTTAAGTTGGTTAGCTAATTGTTTATATAAAATACTCTAAAAAAAGTTACATCTAAAAAATTTTCTGCCAGGATAACACACACCTCCCTCCTCAAAAAAAGGAAAGATAAAAACGAAAAATTCAGGACTTCATCATCACTTTCTTTGAGAAGTATGCAATTCATTAGGTGCCTCTGCACCAAACATTTTTTGGAATATCCAGATATCAGACTCTCAGTGTTAAGGCAGTTTTTGCCTGTTGCCTTCTTAGCTCAGAGTAGAACCAGAATTTTTGACATTCTGTTTCTTCATAAAAATCCTGCTTAAAATCCATAACACTAGATATTGACTGTCCTTACTTGAGTCACTAAGATTTAAACACAGTTTACAGAGCGTCAAGCACTGAACAGTTTGCAGCAGGAGCCCTGCACAGCAGAGGACGCTTGCGCAGGCATGAGTGATGCAGGCCTGACACGGCCTGTAATCTAACGTGCAGGAGGAGTTACCGAAGAAAAGGACAGCTTACTCTGTGCCTAACAGGAGGCAGAATAATTCTTTTAGGAAGCAGTTTCCACTCTGTTTCTGCTAACCTTTACCCCCCGAAAACCCTAGGAACGATAGAAAAGTCTTCGTGTACCCCACAGCAAGCTTACATGCGATGAAGACAGGCTTCCTGAAAATCCCGGGTCAGCCCGTCCCTGCCGTGATGCTGTGGCTGCATCTTCCTTGGGTGCTGCTGTATCGGCTTTGAAAACACTGTCAGAGCAGCTCAGTAACGCTACCATGAGATAAAAGTGTGTGTTCCTGCCTAAGAATAGCTTGCGTGTTTGTTCTGGGAAACTGAGTTCATATGGTGTTTACAGAACTACTTTTGTAACTTCCAGACTTTCTAAAACATTCTGCTTAAAAGCTGTATAACGTCCAATTCCAGAGCCTCTGCTGCGGAGACACACACGCGAGCAGGCAGGTGGCCGCGTGTGCGTGGGACCTCACGTTGCGAGCAGGGCGCCCGGCCTCCCGGGTCAGGGTCTGCGCAGACCCGGCGGCGGTCCGGTCCGGGCAGCTGCGGAGGCGAGGGTCTTCCTGCTCACTTTGCAGTGACTGGCTCTGTTTAAAAGAAAAAAAAAAAAAGAATTGCAGGTATTGCCTCCTTTCCCTTTTCTACTGAGAACTGTAAACTGGCCCCTTGTTAGAATAGGGTTGCTACTCGGTCTGTTTTTTTAAGGCTGAATTTCATTTATCTAAAGAGAAAATATGCACCATAACCGGTCTTGTCAAGAGTGCAAGATTATATTTTTATGTAAAAAGTTAAATTGGGGGGTTATTTATTCAGCATGAGACTTAACGTGTGTGTCTGAAACGCGTCACAACGTGCATGTAGCAGGGAGACCCCCGCCAGTGTCACTGGCTGTCCTATCTTTGTGTGCACTGCCGCTTCAAATCGGGAATAAATTTCATAAAACAGACTTAAGGACTATTCTTAACACAAGTTAAATATTATGGCCAGACCTCAGGTTGATGGCTTTTTTAATAACCCGTATAAGTTCTCTCTCTAGCTCTCCTGTAAATTTATGTTGCTAAAAAGGGTAACTTTCATTTCTTAATAGTGGGCTTGGTGAGACATTATGTATTTCAACTTTCACTACTGTCAAATGCCGTTTGGATATTAGTCCCAAGGTCAGACCACTCGCTGCTGAAAAAGGAGATCTCTCCCTCCCCCACCCCTCCAGTGGCATCGCGTTCCGGCCCCGCCCGAGTACCGGGCACCGGGCACCGGGCACCGGCGAAGGGCTGGCGGCGCCGCGGTTCCCGCACTCCCGGGGGTCACAGGCTGCAGAGGAGCTCGGTGTCAGTGACGTAGTGAGTGAAGTTACAAAACGGGGCT